TGACATTTACCAAATTTGGATTGTTCCTAAATAACATAGTGTTCTGCCAAAATGATCTCTGCATGTCTATCAGATCTTCATACCACTGTTTTTTTTCCTCTGCCAACAGAAGGGTATAGTGAATAAGTCTGTTAGTCAGCCATGAAAACTGTAATGCTCCCTCAATCCTGACTTAGCACAGCATATCCACTTTGCTATAAACATAACTCTAAAAAATGAAAACTGCATGGCTGTTAAATTAAAAATATCCGATCCATCGAATTTTATTTACTTTTTCAGTACAATTTTCACCTTTAATATTATTTCATTTTGGTCTAAAGCAATATTATTCTGGCCCATGTTTGTTCAGGTTATTTTCTCATAAAATATTTAGCTTTTGACACCATGTTGCACATTTATCTACAGTAAATACACTGACCACATCTAACGTGTTTGGAGAAATAGTAACCACACAGGAATATATGTAAAATGTTAATGTAGCTGTACTAAGGGTTATTATGACCTAAATGTTTGTTAATGTGTATCAGTTTCATGTAGAATGTGGTGGGAAATCTGTTAGTGGTGGGTGGTGAACTGTGTGGAAAATGGAGGTTTTATGTAATAACCTAAGAATGGTTACAAAGGAGAGGAGGCCGTCCAGTCCATCCATCCTGTTCGGTAGTTAGTAGTTAATTGATCCAAGCAACTCATTCAGCCATTTCTTGAAAGTAGCCAGGCTGTGTAGCTTGTTCCATACTCCCACAATTCTGTCCCACCCTCAAACAATTCTGTCTCATACTCCCACAGCCCTGTCCCACACTCCCACGACCAAACCACTTATGTGCCACGTTTTCATGATATTTCTTAAATTCCTTTACAAATCTGTTTTCCTTGTTTGGAAACTGACACTGATTGATAGAAGTGCCACTAGGGCAGTGGTTTTTGGGTTGTATTTAGTTAGCACATAACTGTACTTTTACTGATTTTGAGTGGTTTTTTGGGGGGTTTAATGTCTGCTTTTCTCTCTTGTTAAGGTTTCCTTGCTGCTCTAATGTAATTAGTACAGCAGGCAGCAATCTTCACAGATTTGAGTGACACAATGTTACCAGTAAATTGTCCACACAGTCAACAGGAAAAGGTGGAGGTACTCCTCTTTTCCAAGTAGTTTCGGTACCTGGAGAAGAGGGATGGAAAGAGGATAAAGGATAAAGGAAAGAAAGACAGAACACAACAACACTTGGCAATTTGCATACAATCGTGGTTTACTAGTCATTAAACAGTATTGTACTTACAAATTCTTGGCAATATTTTTTTTTTTCATGTAGTCACTTACTTTGTATGTGATTTCAATGATTTTATGTTAGATTTTATACAATTTTATTCCAGGATTCTGTCTGATAGACAGAAAGAAGATCTCAAACTCAGCTCCTCATTGGCCTGCTGTTCTAGCTTATTCCACCCAAGCCATCAGTTACATAGTAGGTCTGCCTATGCAATAAACTGCACAATTTTAACAATTTTAACCAGGCATACAGTATATAAATACAAGTATATCTAATGTAATTGTACCTTGAATGATCTTAACATTTTGAGTAATCAACTGTAAAAAAACTTAAGAAAGGTACTGTATATGTCCAGTCAAGATAATTAATTGTTTAACTGAGTAGTCAAGTTGGATTGATAACTACAGAACACTAGACTTTCCAGCAATTGAGTTTTAGACTGCTAGAATTTATTTTGCAAGAAGAGTCCCATTGCATGGGCCACTTATGGGCACAGCAAAGGTCTGTGCTGCCTAGGTGCTATAAATAGTACTACATACATATACTATGTATACTAATATGTAGTAATACTAATATGTAACAAAACATATTAGTATTATCTCCCTCTAGGACCAGGAAAGGTCTGGTGTACACCTGGGCAGTACAGTGGCACTTTGGTTATCATTGCTATCTCACAGCACTGTTTAACTCCGGACCTGGGCTGCTATCTGTGTGGAGTCTGTATGTTTTCCCCATGTTCATGCGGGTTTCCTTCTGGTATACCAGTTTCCTCCCACAGTCCAAATAAACAGGCTAAATGATTTCTGGGAAAACTGGTGTGAGTGTGTACTTTTCCAGGGTGCTGCTTGCTAAGATGGGCAAACCTGAATGGGATGAAGTGGTGAGAAAATGGAAGGATGGATAGTCTAACCTGTGTGTATCTGTCCTCTGATTAGCAGGATCAATTTATAATCTACCAACAAAAGAGATAGAGTAGGTGTTTTGTACTTAATCTTTTTATCACATCCCTTAGATTTGAGGTTTTAGATATCTGACAGGCAATCTCATTTAAAGATTACAGTGATCCGTGCTGCTCATCTTCTGCCATGGCCACAGCCAGCAAATTACCTTCTCCTTCCACACCCAACTTAGGAAGACCTCATACTGTATGAACAGCCTGTTTGAAGTTGTTATATTCCTTTTACTTCTTATATTCATGGTAGGTGCAGCCTGGTATTTTATTTAAGTCAATCCTAATTAAGATGTGAGCTGCACTCACAATTCATTCATGTTTATTTACCAGGGTGTAGTGTTCCATGTTTGTTGTGTGAAATAGAGTTTGCAGTGTTGGGATAATTCTGGTGTATAATGATGATATAAAGCTGTACCTTTATATTCATTCTGGGTTTTTCTGAGTGTTTTTACCTTCTATTTATTTGATGAGTTTAATCATGCCTACACCCCTTTTCTTACACAAAATCGCCATAACATTATAGGGGTGGCAATCTAAAATATGTAATAACAGACTTAGGAAGCATTCCCTTGTGTTATTTTTACATTTGATAAAATTGTATTTATGTAAAAAAAAACATTATAAAAATTTGTCTACATGTTTCACATTGGAAAAAAAATCCAATAAATAAACTATAAATCAGTAGTGTAAATAACATTTACATTTTGATGTTTGTACATTGAAGGTAATTGTGATATACAATATAATACCACTGTAATATTATTGATTGTGTATTTCTACTGTAATGAAGTTTATTAAAAAAGAAAAATAATTCCAACAGAATTATGTTTTGCTAACCTGACTAACCAGAAAGCTTAACCTGTCAGCATATTTTCTTATTTGCAGAAAATACTAAACCAGGGAATCTAACATCATGTTAGCTTAATCTCAAAGCTTTAGACTTATGGGCAGTAAACAGTCATGATTTTAAGGATTTACTGTATGTTGACCAAATCAAGATTTTGTCCTAAATATACTGAACCCCGTTGAAACATAAAACAAATTGAATTCACAAACTGGATTCAGACACAAAGTTTCTGATGAATTACCTTACCTGGCACAAAACATGGTTAATTATGCACACTTAGGACTCCAATTCAAAAACACAAATTTCTATTGTTCCTTTAAACTATAGCTTTAAATAATAATGATAATAAGCCTGAAAGTTACATTTGCCATTCACTGCATTTGTATACAAAAATAATCTCAAAGTTTGTTTCTACATTTATATACTTTTGGACCTATTTCATTCATAACTAAAATGTATCCCTCGCCTGGGTGACATGATTTGTGACAATTACCTCACATTACATCAGATCAGGTCACAAACTGTTTCACCAAATGAATAAAGGGAAAAAGTTAAAGAGCTCAGATTGACAACCCCAAAGCAGAATTAAACCAGGTTTCTGCAATGAACATGCCTATTCTTCCAAAAAAATGTCATGGGATCTTTAACGACCAAGTAGTCAGGAGCTCAACTGAATGTCCCATCTAACAAACAGCTTCTTCTTCAATACAGTCAAAATACTGGGACATTTGTTTGGACATTCTAGTCCAGAAGGAAGGGTGCTACCTTCTGGTAAATTGAAATTATTTATAGCAGCAAGTTGGTTTTCCTTGGAGCTTTCCTTTTCTAGTATTGAGTAGGGCAAAACTTAACTCCTACCCAAAATACCCTAACTCCTGATATCTGCCAAGATCAAGCTGGGAGATGGTTGCTGTTGAACATTTCTCATCAAATACCACAAGCCAGTAAGAGCTTCTATTTTTAAGACATGAAGACAAATGAAGCAAATTTGGTAATAGGCCTTGCATAATGTCATTGTAAGCCTTGCTGGTGTAACTCATACTGTCATATATAAACCCAGAGATATTATCAAAATACACTTCTCACAATTACCTAGTATCATGTACGTGTTCTTCCAGCAGATGTTACTGTATCTCTAAACCCTATCCCCATTCCTTGACTAATATACCTATATTTTAAAATCAAGAGCGTTAAACACTAGTAGGCCTGCAAGCCTGCTATCCAGCTAGGGAAAAAAGTAGAACAGCTGCATTTACGGAATATATACTAATGGAAAAATAATGGAAAAATAAAACGCAACACCTCCCTCTCCACAGTCTTGCCCTCCCGTCTGTGTGGAACAGGCTGAAGAGTGACTCATCCATGAAGAGGACCTGATGCCACTGCTGACGGTCCATCACAGCCTCTGTCTGGCCCAAGCCAGTCGGGTGTGACGTCTAGGAGGTGTGAGCAGAGGGCCTCTGACAGGTCGCCTTGCTCTAAGGCCAGCAGCATGGAGCCTCACTGTTCTGTCACTGATGCGGGCATTGTGTCTGCTCCAAAATGTATGCAATATTATATTTATGTCTTCTATTTCAAGTAATTTTAACTTGTTATAAATAATCCAGGTACATTGTTTTACCTGAGCTGAAATATAAATATTACATGAGGTCACTGGACAAATAAAGCTAATCATTATTAAAATTTAGGGAACTAATGAGATCAAGTGACATTTCCTCTCTTAATTGCTCCATATAATCCCTTTCCTTAAAACTTTTATCTGATTAACTTTTTTAAAAAGGCGCTCTCACTGGATAAAGGTTAAATAAGATTATTTCCTAAAGAGTTTCAATGACAGAAGGCCTTAATCCCAATCTTTTTTCTTTAAGAAGATCATAATTTGATTAATTGGTTTATGACTTTATAGTGGTATAACTTTAACAGGTCCTTTCATTCTGACAGGACAGGTGCGCGGTGAAAATGGCAGGCACAGAAGAATTTTACCTCTTTGAGAACATCTCTTCTGTGGGGCCCTGGGATGGACCCCAGTACCACATTGCCCCAAAATGGGCCTTC